ACCCCAGACTACAATTTTTGGAAATGCATTTACCACAAGCTGAAGTGACTCACTTCTCCACCAGCCTTCTCTGGAGGTGCACACAGAGGCATGTAAGAAAGCTAGCTGTTTAAAGAGCTAAGACACAGAAAGGCCAATTCCATAGAGAACTCAACTGCCATCCTGTGCCTTTCTGACCGACTCTTGGTCTCTTTCCTGCCACTATGGTTGCTCTTGCATTATGATCCCAAGTTCCCACTTCTCTTTCCACCCCACTTACTCTCTAGCTGTATGTTACCTGTGCTATCCCTATGCCTTGTCCTTTTCAATACTCATGACCCATTGGATTGCTGGTCTCTATGAAAGCAGGGACTTGTCAGACACAGGACTGCCAGAGGTTTTCCAAGGAAGATAGTGCCAGAGAACCACAGGAATTATAATTAGCACTATCTGCCCAACAAGCAAAACAGACATTCTCACCAAGGTTTCTAAATAAAAGGAAGCACACCTTTTCCCATCCTGTAATTGTGAGCTCTCCTTTAAGATTTTCTTGAGTCATCTCCTGTCATTTCCTCCCTAAGAATCTTACCATTGTGTGACATTCCCCTCAACATTTGCAATTTGGGTCAAAGAACAATTAGTACAAGATGAAAGAACCACACATTCTTTGGTTTTCCCCCATCCAAATCCTTACTCACTTAGAGCATTAAGTGATACTCAGCAAATTACATCCAGCTGGAGAGAAAGGAACCTCAGGGAAACCATGATGACATAAGAGGGAGAACAGAACCCAAGCAGAATATCAGATTCTTGGTTTGAATGAGGAAGAAAACAAAATCAATAGCTTCAAAGGTGCTCTGCCCTCAAGCTTCATCATCAACACCTCTCCTGACATTTTATTGGAACCTAGCCTCTTAAGTACACTAAACCTTGACTATTCTATTGAGAAAATCAAGGCCATCTGACAAAAGCTTCCTATATTTTCCTTATCCCTGTCGGCATTATTAAATTGGGTACAGTTCTTTGGACACAAGTAGACCTGAATGAAATCTGCCTACTCATTTTCTCTGATACCTACTAGATGCTAGGCTAGTTCATTGTACCTTCCCAAATAAGTTTCTTCATTGTAAACAGGTAAGAATAATGCTGTTCTTGCAGAATTATTCTGAAATTCATCAAGATCATAAATCAAAAGATTCTAGTCTGTCCTTTAGCCAAAATTAAAATGTTCCTTAAAATTCCCAGTTCTTGATTTGTGTTTAACAACACGGATAAATTACACTTTTAACAAGTGGCCATTATAATTTCTTTGTTCTTTGCTAGATATACAAAAAAGAAAATCAGCATGGAAAGAAGTCATGAGGATAATAAGGCTTTGAATGGAAAATAATAGAATTGTCATAGCTAAAAGGACTCTAGCCTCCTAACTGGTCCTCTCTTTATGGATTCTATCTGTGATCCATACCTGTAGTCTCCAAGGTGGAGTATGTGCACCCCAGTAGATGTGCAAAACACTCAATGGGAGGATGGGAGAAAAATGTTAGCACTTGGGGAATACATTTAGTTTCATCAAAGAAAATAAGAGATTAAGTTTTTCTGATATTTAGTATGACATCAAACTCTCCATTAGTGGCCACCCCTCAGGTAGGTCATGAGGAAAGTCTTGAATGAGAATAGGGAATTTACACATTAATCATGATGGGCAACTAGTTAAGTGAATATATAAATTTATCATCTGATTTTAACTTCTATGTAATCACAAAATGGGTGATAAACTAAAAAAATAGTCCCCTAAAAGAAATCATAGACCAAAGATAATATAACAAAGCAAGCCATGTGGATGGCTTTCTCACTTGGTAGAAGCATTCTGTCATATTAGATTTCCAAAACTATTATATAATCAGATCCAACAAGAGGTTAGCCTACCCCTACCCAAGAAGATTATTGGGAATACAGATTTATATGTGTTTCCCTTAACAATGAATGTTGTTCTAAGTGTATACTGAAATATTAGCTGTAACATTTTAAAAGACATTTAAAAACCAGGTAAGCAGACCACTAACCATTTTTTAATGTCAGATAAATTTAAAATAAATTTGAAATCCTTTATAGTTTATTTTTATCTTGTTCTTTTTTAATACCCACCTTTTTATTTTATACTATATAAGTTATTAATGTAAGCACACGTGTATGTCATTTACAAATAAGCAGACATTCATAAATTAGCAGGATGTGCTCAAACATTGTAAGGTGCACTATCAAAAGCTGGGACAACTGGCTCAACACTGACCCAGGTGTTGGCCTCACCTTTGGGTTATGCCATTCACCTGTTATCTCAGTTCAGGCTGCTATAACAATGTACTGTTGACTGATGGCTTCAGAGATAAACCTTTATTTCTCACAGTTGCAGAGACTGAGGAGATCAAGATCAACATGCTGCCATATGCTAGTGAGGGCCTCCTTCCTGGCTCATGGATGGCCATCTCCTCACTGTGTTGTCACAGTGAGATAAAAGACCTAGCCAGCTCTCTGTGGTCCCTTTTATAGAGAAATGAACCCTATTCATGAGGGTTCCCCTTTCATGGCCTAATTACCTCTCAATGGGACCTCCCAATCATGGAGGGAATAGAATTTCAACTTAGAAATTTGGGAGAAAACAAACATTCAGTCCACCTCACCTGCATAAAGATCTATCTTTAACAACTCTCCCTGGACAAATGAATATGGATGAGCTCTTTATGTTGAGACTCTTCCTAATCTGGTCCCAGTTCTCTTTTATAACCTCTCTGGGTTCTTGCAGGCATAGGTAATTGAAAAGAGGCTAACAGGACTACAAAAATTAGGTATAGAGAAAGCAAAAGAGTAGTGATATGGAAACATAGGAGAGGGTGTCGTTCCCTGCCCTCCCCTTAGGCCTAGAGTGATGAAGAGAAGGCGCACAGATACTGGATAGAGCTGGTGCTTGCAAAGACCCTCAGAGAAGACAGGCAGCCAGCTTGAGACCACTCTGAATGATTCTGCTCTCTCCCTTACCTACTCCCTATTGGCTAAATCCAAACAGATGCAAGATCCTGATATGGTTCATACAAATCGGCATTCCATGACCCAGAATCTGATAGAAAGGGGTGTAAATGGCCGTGGAGAAACCAATGGTAGATGTTCAAACCAATCTCTTTCCAAATTTTCCTTATTCATTCATTGATATTTTCCTTTCTCTATTCAACAATTTTTTGTCAAGTGTAATGTCAGGGATGGATCTGAACATTAGGGATAGAACTGAAACAAAGCAGTCAACATTCCTACCCTCACGTCTCATCCTACCTTCCAGAGAGACAGGCAGGCAATAAACATAGTACTCACTAAAACGATTACAGGTCACCATCAGAGGGACTGCTTCATGAATGGCCTTGCTGAGGAGATAAAACCTGACAAGTGAGAACAGGCCAGCCATGCAAAAAGTGAGGAAGAATGTTCCAGAAAGAAGCAATTCTATAGTAGAATCATGTTTGTATGGACCAGGGACAAAAAGAAGCCAGCATGGCTGGGGATGTGAAGCAAGATCTGAACTTGAAGTTGGGCAGGGACCTACCAGCTGGGGTAAGGGTTTGTCAATGGTGCATTCTTGACCTGGGCAATGCATACATCTTTTAAAATGCTCAACCTGCCAAAAGCTGCTGGCTGTTGTGTGTTGTGCCTCTATGCCTTTGTACCTGTAGTTTCCCTAGAAACTTCCCCTATGTCTTCCATCTGACAAACAGTTACTCATCCTTTATGACCCAGTTTATATGTGATTTCCTGTGTGAAGGTTTCCTAGGTCTCTGTCGACTGTCTTAGTCACTTCCTCTTCTGTGCTCTATTAGTGTTTTGTACATCTCTTACTGCTTCGTCACTGTTTGTTTATGGATTGTCTGGCTCGCTCCCTCTCTGAAGACAGGGAACTCTTTGAAGGCAAGGGTCATTCTATATTTCTTTGCATCCCACCCTACCCCACCTCTAACCCGAAGCCCTTTGAGAACTGAGGCCACCTCATATTCATCTTTTCATCTTCACCCTACTCTTCTCCCCACCCTAGTTCACCTGGCCCAGGGTATACCTCTCTAACCATGCTCAAGAATGCACACCAAAGTAATCAAGTTGCAGAGAACAGACTTTTCACTAGCTCCAGTCTTCAAGGACAAGAAAAGCATGCCTAAAAGAGGCTCTGAGTGATTGGTGATGACCCAGAGCTTCTTCAACATAGAAAGTAAACACAGCTGCTGGAATCTACTCAAAAACATTAAAAATTTGGTGTTTAACTAGACTTTAGAGGATTCTTTAATCTATAGCAGGATAATAAGCAATATTTATTAAATGCTTACTCTCTGCCAGTGTCCCAAGAAATGCACATATTCATTCATTTAGCCTTCAGAACAATGCTCTGAGTTGTTTGTCACATAAACTCAATTTTCAGATGAGGAAGTGAGGTTAACTGACTCAGTGTAGGTCACAGACAATAATGAGCAGAACTAGGAGTCACAATCAGATGGTCCAACTCCAGAGCTCAATCTCTTCATCTCTACTAGATTGCCTTCAAAGATAGAAAAAAAATAACAATAATTTACTCTTTATGGATGGATGAAACTAATACAATAAAGGCTCTTCTTCCTGATCATTTTCAACTCCAAGAAAGATGATGGACTTGTACAGATCCATTGTCATCCTTATGTCCCATACATGCCTGATGATTGTCCACCATTGATGGTGAAATCAGTGGCCATTGGTGTGCACTTACCAAATGAGCTCAAAGAAGATCCAACTCAGAGCCTTGATGGTATTTGATCTACTGAAACAAACTATATCTTTCTCTATGTAAAAGGGTAAGGGTGTGATCATTAATGAAATTACAACCCGTATCCCTGATTGTGCCTGAGCTCCCAGCACAAAATTTAAGAGTCACCTTTACTCTCTCAGACCAAAAGAAGTCTAAAGGACCTGATGAGCAGTTCTTTCAAGCATGCACATCTCCTGTGAGTGAGGTAAAGTCCCAGCCCTCAAAGGATCTTTATTGTCTGATGTTTTCCATCAAAGAAATAGAAACCATCCCTCTCTCCCTCACACCTGGGTATTTTGTATCAGACACTCAATGCATATTCTTCCCAGCAAATCAGTCCAGTTAAGGAATGGGATGAGCAATGGACCTTGGGCGACATCAGCATTCACTGCTCAAACTAGATGATTCATTGTAGACCCAGCCCTTCCCCACTCTGGGCATGAGCTTTCTTATCTGTAAGAGAAAAAAAAATGTGTGAGAATCTCTAAGATGATACATAGCTCTAAAAATGGGTGAAACTTAGAAACACACACCCATACAAAACTAGCACTTCTTGCATTCAAGTGATGAATACTCTTGTCCTTTGTAAAAGTCTATTAACTGCACTCATAATTTAGAATCTTACAAAACAGGATATGAGAATTTATCATTTATCAAAGGCCAGGCACAGAGTCAGTTGTGAGGAAGAGAAACAGAATTGAAAACAATCTGAGGCCTGCACAGAATGTCTTATTATCGTCTCCTATCCCATTACCAGGGAATAAAATAAAAGATGACAAGAGAGAGTTTCTCACATTGGTGATGGACTAGAGGTCTTGCTCACAGGGCACATTTGGGAGCAGCAACCTCTGTGGGCCTTTGCGCAAGAGGTGTAGCAAACGTTCCTTCATTGCTCTCATTTGGATGTGGAGTCAGATATGGTTTTCTTGAAACTGTCATAAAATCACCATGAGGGCAATAAAGTCTACTGAACAGTGTTGGAGAAGGTAATGAATGGAGCCCTGTTGGCATGAGAGGTGGAAAGGGGTCAGAGAGGGGATAAGGAAGCAGGAGGATCATTGCTCACTCACCAAATGTGGCTTAGAGGAAAGAAGACTGCACAGGATGCTGGGCCAGACAGGGAACCAACTGTGTGGTTCTGGCCATGCCAGCTTATCTCCTGTAATAAAATAAGAAGATTGCGTTTTATCAGTCGTTTTCATAATGAGTCATTAGAACAAAGGCGTCTCATGGAAAAACCAGATGGATGGAGAGAAGCACAAAGTGGGTTAAGTTCTTGACTCCCCATTCCACCTTCTATGCAGTATTCTCTGCTTTTAAGTGTTTTATATTGGAGTTCAACATAACATGTTATTTCCAAAAAGGTATGCTACACTAATGAATACGACTTTAAAACCACGTAGACCAGATGATCTCAAATATCTCCTCACAATTCTTTCTATGAGTCCACAAAAAAAAAAAATTTATAAATAAACGGGCACATACTTCCTTTCCCAGTCCATTTTGGCACTCTCAGCAAATATTACAGGGTAAAATAAAAATAACGTATTTTGAATTTGGCCCTTTTCCTTTTGTTCATCAATAAGTTCCACAGCTCCTTGACAAAGTGGTCTAAATTATAAAAATCACCAATGGTCTTCTCTTTATTAGAAAATGAGGCTAACTTTCAGCCAGCAAATTGATGCGATTTGTAATTTCCCCAAATCATTATTCTCCTCCTGTTTTATTACAATAATAAATATTTTTGCCATTATGCATGGAGTCTTGATAGAGTCCTTGGACAATCATCTCTAATATCATATTTATGCCTCCTTATCTCTACCACATGAACAGAGGTTGGCAGTCCCCTCCCTAATGTTTAAAAAAAAAATGCTGCCTGACTCTAATGAATCCAAATAGTCTGCAGTTTCATAATGCTTTATGCAGTTGCTTAAATCTTCTGTAGGTTGGGAAGCAAAAGATTTTCATTTGCTGGGAAAGTCTCAGAGGTAGTTGGAGGAATGATAGAGACTAATTAAATTGAGATGAGTCCACAGAGAGCAAGCCATCTTTGTGCATAGAGTAAAATGGGAGAAACTGAGAACACTCCACCAGATTGCTTCAGATAACCACATGATCTAACTTCATGGACACTGGTCCCACCAGACTTATAGAATTTGATATTAATTGAGCTGTTTTTCTATACCTAACCAGAACAAAGTCACATTGATATCTCAGATGACTTTGGTTCAAATGTAATAATCAAGGGAAAAAAACAAGAATATTTTATTCTCACTTTTAGAATCTGTTCTAGGTTTTAATCACATAAACAGTATCTTCAATGTTTAATGATCATTCCATTTTGCAGTACTTGAAATGATATGTCCAGGGCCACATATGTGAAGGCTTTTATCCACTTCATTTTCTACACCTGAAAGATGTAGAAGATCAGCATTTTATTGCTTCCACCACAGTGTTCTCCCACACTGAAAATGAATGTCAGCCATCTTTTCACCAAATCCAGATGCAGCCTCTAACAATTCTCTAAGCATCTGCAAAAACATTCTTCAGCTGACAGTTAAGATGAAACTTATTCCTCACCCTGAATATTCCCTGGGTATTCATGGATTTAACATTTATAATTTCAACATTCAGAAGTACCCATCAAGATGATGACAGCTATGTAACTTGGTTTAGTCCCATAACTGAATCATCCATGATGAAAAGATTCCTCTGTTAGTAAATGAGCCTAACCCCTCTCAACCTACGAATCTCCACACACATTTTTGAGCTTGTCTTTTTGTTTTCAGAAAAAGCATCTTATAAGTAATAATACAGACTATACATTACAAACTATTATAGACCAGTACTTACCAATTAAGAGAGTTAAAGAATTTATCTCTATATATCCCTTCATAACATTTCCTGCTACTTAAAATCCCATCATAATAACTTCTTCTATTTATGCCCATCCAACTCCTCAATGCTAATTCCATTCATCGTCCACTGATACCATCTAAAGCATGACAATATGAATCAATAGTCACCAAGTTGTTCAGAGAAAAAACCCAGGAAGCATACTTGTATGACCCTCTTTTAACTCCCCACACCCCAGTCTATGAAAAACTCCTATGGATTCTACCTTGAAAATAAATCACAGACTGTCCACTCATCTTTCACCTCCATTGTGACCATCATCATTCAGGTTTTTGTTGCCTCTTTCCTAGACTATTGGTCCTGACCAATCTCCTATCCTTTTGAGTCCTAGACCTAACCATGCTCAATAAAGACACAGTCACTTTACCCACCACCTTTCATAAAGATGGCATTTCCTCTTCTCTTAGTGGGAATACCCCATCCCTGACTTTATACTTAAATGCGACTCCTTCAGGTCCTCCTTCCCGGACCACCTACATAGACCTCCCTCTTTACTCTCCATCACCTCTTGGTCTCTAATTGAACACCAGATTTTCCATCTGCCAGTACATATTCATGAATGTGTTCACTTGCTGCTAGCCTGTCTTCCTTACTAGCCTGGAGATTAGAAACCAGGGACCACCATCCTAACACAACTTGATTTTAATGGACCTCTTCATGGCTGCCTGGAATCATTGGCAAAAATCTAAGAACTGGACTCTTAGATTCAAGTTGCCCAATCTACAAAGCCACATTGCCTCTCATTTTATGGTTGCTACAAGTCTCCGCCAGTTTAAGGTTAAGCAATTTGTAAAAGAGAAATGGGAATTACTTCATGTAAGTAAACAACTCATTACCCTTGCAAAAGATTGTCTCCAGCCTGAATCATTGCAATACTTTCATGTATACTTACACCACTGTCATTCTTCTCAGAGACCCCATCATAAACTAGCTAAAATGTATATTATGTGTCAAATACCAGGGCCTTTTCAGAATAAGACCAAACAGACCCCATTTTCACAGAATTCACATCTCATTGAGAAAAACAGATGTAAACCAAGGAATAAACAGGAAACATTGTGGGAAAAACACAGAGCTATAGGAGCACGTTGTGACAATCTGTTTCTAGGGCTCAGGGAAGATTAGTACCTGAGGATGAGTAAGAGGCAAGAAAAGTCACTCAGACATCAGGAGGCTGGTGAGAAGGTCAGGGAATAAAAGTGGGCTTTATAAATTCTAGCATTGTGAGCAAGCACAGTGATACCAGAGTACAAAACACACTGGAGGAAAAGATAAGGAGTTAGCACACTGGGGCTGGCCAGGAGCCAGATCTTCTGCAGCACAGTGGGAATTTGGACTGTTCTTCTAAGTGGAGGAGTAATGTAGCCCAGCTTCCATCCCTTACCCAGAGATCACTTCCAGCAACCTTTGGCATGTAGCACTAAGTATCTGTTAGGTACTTACGAGTCACTACATGGCTCAACTATGAGCACAGTAAGAAGTATGCACTACAAGGGATTTAACTAACTATGCTATGTGTCTGTATTTGAAAGATAGTAGGCAATGAATAGATAATATCTAAAATTGAAAGCTCTAGAAATACCTGTAGAGAAACATTATTTAAAAATAAGAGAGTAAAGAGTTGAAAGATTTGTAAGCAGCAACATCCAAGTCAAAAGAGTAGAAAATGGAAATGGGATGGGGTCAAGAATGGCCAGGGATTGTATTAATTTTAATTTTCATGTCTGTATTGTATTGTTACTTTTATTGTCATTAGCCATGACTAGGTTTTTAACAGATGCACAAGTTAAGCATGCTCACTCGCACTAGCACACACTTGCACTCCTTGCAAATTCTGTCCTAAACAGAGAGGAAGAGAGAAGCAGTCATGGCAGTGCCTACTGACCATCTCACAGGTGGGTCTCATGCCCCTGCATTAGTTCCTGGGCCAGTCATATCCACAACAGGAAAAAAAAAAGTAGCCTCTGCCCTTCTTTTATTTTATTTCTTTAATTTTTATATATTTGTTTGTTTGTTTATTTATTTATTTATTTATTTATTTTTGAGGAGTCACAATCAGGCTGCCGTACAACCTTTGGATTTTCAGTACTTGTGACAATTTGAAGTTATCTGCTTAAATGCTGAGTTAAGATCCTAAGAATACTCCAGAAACAGATCCACTGGGAGTCCAGATTTCAGAGGAAACTAGGACAGCACAGAAGCTTGAATTCCAAGTGCCAGGATGCAAGATCCAGAGATGGAGCACCTACTCTCTTTGCTTTGGCTGCAATATGCACTTAGGTATGGGAAGTAGATTGCACACAGATGCCGAGATGTTATAGCAAAGGTCTTTCAGTAGCTCGGCAGCTCACAACTGCCTGTCCATTCCATGGAGACGTGTGGTACTGGACAAGGACAGAACATAACCCATCTTTTACTACCTATAAGTGAGAAGGAGTGACAGAGAGAGAGCATAATGGAAACTATCTACTAAAGAGAGGACCTATGCTCCCAAGCACTTTAGAAGAAGCCCTTTGACTGACAATGCTAGTTGAAAATCATTCTTATTTAGCAAAATCATTCCCCCCTAATTTTCTATACCAGATAAAATTTAATTAGGCTTACTTAAATACATTGAAAGAAAAAAATGAGAGGAGGAAAGAAAGGTATTAAATGTTTTATAAATGAAAAATGTTACTTCTTCAGAATACGTTTTTTATGTAATAAATTTTAGTGTTATAAATGCTAACACAATTTCACCTCCACTTAAAGTCAGTGAGGAAATCTGAGTATATTTGTTTCTTCTGAGAGTAGGGAGTTCTTTTTAATTGTTATTGTTTTTAGGTTTTATTTGTTTTTTTAACTAAATACTATTTCCCAAAATAATATCAGCAATTTCTTCATTATATCTTAAAACAATAACTTCCATGTAAGTGAATGTTAAATGTTATTAAGTACAAACAGCATAATAACTAAAAATAGTTCAAAACATCTAGCTGCAGTTTGACAACAATCTTGCTCTAGCCAAGTTCCCCATTAATTGCACAATCTATATTTTGGGAAAGGCAGAACTCAATTGTTTCCAAACAAAATTTCAAGCCTGGTACATTTCCTTCCCTTTGTTAGTTTCAGTTAAATGAATTATTCTTCTAAAAGAGAAAAAGAAGAAAGGGAGGCTTCTCCAGAAAGCTCATTTAATATGTGTATTTCATTAAGGGCTTTAATTATAAAGTTGCAATGGATAGT